GATTACAACAAGAGGGTTGGTGACAGCTCCTAGGCATACTTGAAAAGCGGTTGATATCCGAGATCAGTCCTTTCAAGCTTAAAGAGAGACGGTATGTAATGCACATCACGTCCGAGGCCAAGGAGAATCGCTGAAAACCACAAGTTTTAAGTAATAAGCCCATTTAAAGTATCTGCTTTGAGTCTGTACACAAAAACGGTTTTGTGGATCCTTTTTAAAAAGGATAAAAATCGACCCCGTTGATGCACAACTCCTTGAATCAAATGAAAAAAGAAAAACTACAAAGGACAGAGAGACAGAGAGATACAGCACAAATCAATAACTTTTAACAGTTAAAGGTAACCGGTATCTTGTGATCTCTACTGTTAAACTATTGAACTATTGTGCGTTCATTTAAAGTTTTTATAGCTCACGACCACCTACTGAGACCTATTCTGTTCTCTTCAGGCCGTCTGGCCCGTTTCCTCCATCAGGATCACCATGCAGGTCCAGTGGCACAGTCATATCCTGCCCATCTCCAGCGAGATTATCCGACCCACTGAGTCCATTGAGACCCAGAGACCCAAGAGGAAACTGGAAACGCATTCTATTCAGCTTATATTCAGTTCAAGGCCAGGAAAGTCACAAACACAAAGCCAAATTAAGACTGGCCTGCTTTCAAACCGCTCCTGGAAGACGATACGAATCATTCAAAACTGAACTGCTAAGCCTATGGTATCCAAACACATCTGAAATCTTAATATCGCACACTATATGTAGATACCCATACACCGCAAGAACCCAGTGCAATAAGAACCCAGCCGAGCACTTACTAGCTACTTCCAGTGAGGCGTTGTGGCTGACTGCTTCTCCCAGGTAGTTACGGGCCACGCAAACGTAGGAGCCTGCATCGGTTTTGCTGCGACGGCCGTGTACGATACGCAGGAAGAAGAGCGAGCCGCTGGGCAGGAGCATGCGGTGGGATCGAGGGTTGTCCCGGTCCGTTTCCACACGCTCTCCATCCTTGTACCACTCCACGGTGGGGTTGGGCCGCCCCTCCGCCTTGCAGTTTAGGGTGGCTGGTTCGCCCTTGGATACGATCAGATCAGAGGGGTGTTCCACAATGCGGGGTGCGTAGTCTTCCTGCCGCAGACGGGACCCTGGAAAAAAAGAGAGGTAATTAAATAACATTTAATATCAGTTTATACTAATATCACTAATATCTAATATCAGATAGATAGATAGATAGATAGATAGATAGATAGATAGATAGATAGATAGATAGATAGATAGATATCAGCCAATCACAATGAAGAATTCAATAACACTGTGGTATAAATTTAAATACACGATTCAGGAATCTAATGGATAGACAGCTTCCTCAAGTTTCCAATGCTCGCTAAATTATCCTGTTCTGATGCACGAGCATGATCAATATTCAAGTAATATTAATGACGATCAATCTTCCAATGGGCTTCAGGTCAGATGAGATTCTGTTTTGTATCCTAATGCAAATAAAATACAAATAAAGTGCACCGCTGATTAGATCCAGATGGATGTATCCTGATATTTTCATGTCTGAACGTGATGACTTTTGGCTACAGGAGACACCGGCTGAACTCAGCGCATGATGTCATGGGGATACATTATAACACCGTTATTTAAAGGAATAGCTGACCCCAAAATAAATTCTTTGTCATCATATGCTCACCTTCACCTGTATAAATGTATTTCTTCTGTGGAGAAAATGGTGACCAGAGGTTGTCGAACTTGAAATAATTCATACTATAGCTTTGTATGAGGAAAACAACATTTATACACTGTAAAAAAAGTGTTGTCAAAAATGAATTGAAGTTATAAATAAAACAAATTATTGGTGTACATTTTACAAGAAAATATTATTTTAGCTTTTCTACTTCACTTTCTACTTCATCTTTAATTCAATGTGCTACTTGCCATTTCTTTGTGAAGTTTACTTACAATTTCTTAGAGAAAACTGTTTCTACACCCTTTTTTCAGTGATTTCTCTTTACTGATGTTTCTCTTAAACGTTACAAAAATTGGTCCCCATTGACTTTCACTGTATGGAAAAGTGCAGCGTCAACATCTCCTTTCAAAGAAAGAAATGCGCACTAGTTTGGAACAGCATGAGGGGAATGAATGACAAAATGAACCATTCCTTGACATTTTTGTGTGTAATTCCTGAAGCAGGTGTTGGTAGGTTCCTACGAACATGTTGGTGTGGCTTTGACTAACACAAAATCTCTGGGAGGGAACGAAGCCCTTCATTACTGAAATCTCTCTGTTCTTTGGACTGTGGCAAACCTGTGCTTAAACCAAGCCACTGTCATTTCAGTGGTGCGCCACTTCCCTGATCAAAGACGTGAAATGAGAGGGCTGTAAAGTTAGGGAAGAGGGGGTGTTTGGAGGAAAATGGAGATAAGAGGCATTACAGAGAGACACACACATCAGACAGTTCCGTGGATGTCTGGGTTTATATGTGTGTGTGTGTGTGTGTGTTTGAAGGCTGGAAGTGTAAAGGAAGCACAGCCACTGCGTAGGGAAATACAAAAGTAGCTAAAATTGGAGACAGCCAATCTGCCTTTCTGGGCTTAAGTCGTTTGCTTGTGTTCAGAGACCAGTGAACTGCACCCGTAAGACCTGGTTTATATGCAAATGAGGCTTGCATCTTTAATGCCTAACGGCTACAATATAGTGTCTGTGCATCTCAACACTGCCCTTTGGAGTCAATTCAGCTCCAATTAAAAAGAGCTAGGATTAATTGGCAGTGCAGGGTCAAAATTCACTCATCCAACCCAGCAGCTTTTCACACTCTCTCCATCCCATCCCCCATTCCTTACATCCAACTATCCCTCCCACCGGCACTTCTGAGGAAGGAGAGCTCCATAAGACAGCATCTATGAGCATTAAATCATCCCTAACATCAGCGAGAGTTTGAGCGAGGTAATGCATTCATTAGTGGTTCAACGGATCACAAATCTCACGGTTCGGATCACATTACGGTTTTTGACCCACGGATCTGATAATTTTTCGGATCACCAAGAAAAGAAAAATATTTCAATTTAATTTGCTTTCCATTTATTACTTAAAGTGAAGTACTTCTTTGATACCACAGCAAATACTACTATATTAACTAAGAAAGTTTAAACATGATTAAAGAGACAAGAGAACAGCCAGTAAAAATAAGAACAAATACACAAATTACAAGCATAGATAAATACAACAGAATATGTTACAAATAAAATAAGGTTGGTAGTATTCAAATACAGAAATGTAATTATTAGGGAAAATAACACTGCATAGTGTTCACTGTATAAATTAAATATAGATTTTTATCACAGCTGTTTTGTTGTTTGATGATCATTAATGACAACAGGAGTATTTATAGGCCGCTGTCCCTTTAAGACCTGATGCACCGATCCGATATAATGATACACATCACATCCGATTTCTTTCTCAGCTGTTTTCATTCACTTGAGACATAACTGACTGTGTTTACCTGAATGATTGTCGAGATGGGTATTTTGTCATAATTTCATGTGTATGTCTGTTCAGAGGATTCAGAAGAGGATTCAGTTCGGTGTTCTCGCACAGTCTGAAACGCGTGTGCGGCTGTGTGTGAACAGCCCGCGAGTAACGAATCGAGTTCCCTTCGCCTTTTCTCTCTGGAATTGTTTAAAATTCGCTTGCTTGTGTAAATACAAACAAATGATAAACTTATACTCTATTATGGTTAAAAATGGTCTAAAATGGTTTAATCCGTGGGTCATACGCGTGCCGAACCGTGGGGCTTGGTCCGTACGGATCACGGATCAACTACGATCCGTTTCACCACTAGCATTCATTGATTTGCATGTTGTGGAGAAGAACGGTTGGCTCTCGTGTTTACAGTATGTGTAAATATGTAATGGGCAGATAATGAGCTGTGCTTTCTGATGCATACGAACACACTAAAGGCACACAGGACGATATACTACCAGTAGTTTTCTGCAAACAACACAGAGTGAATGCATAATTTTTATTGTCTGCTAACAGCCATGATAAAAGTACTGTTTATGTACAGAAAATACCCACTGATCCGGGTGTGTGTTCACGGTGTGTGTGTTCACTGCTGTGTGTGTGCACTTTGGATGGAATAAATGCAGAGCACTAATTCCGAGTATGGGTCACCATACTTGGCCACATTGTCACGTCATATACAAAAATGCTATTATTATTATTAGTCTAAATATATAGAATCAATAAGATCAAATATAACATATATATATATATATATATATATATATATCCACACATACATACATGCATACTATAGAGAGAGATAAAAATAAAATAATATAAAAGACAAAATAATGGGAAAAAAAATTAACACTCCAATATTTGTATAATCAGTATTGACTGAAAAACAGTAGTTATGCCAATATTGAAAAATTTGCACATCTATGCCGCCACAAATAGAGTGCAAGTCTTTGGGAAACACTGAACTTCAATAAGAAAAACAGTGGCACAAAATATGACTCTTTGGAAACTGTATTATAGCTTTGTATGTGCTAATTCGTCATGAAATTTACTAGCAATTTCTTAGTGAAAAAGGTTTCAACATCAAACTTTTCTCAGTGTATATGTGCAGATTTTCTTAATTTATGCTTCTCTTAAATGTTGAAAAGTTGGTCACCATTGGCTTCCATTCACTGTATGGAAAAGAGCATCACGAACACCTTTCAAAGAAGAAAGAAATACACAATGGTTTGGAATAAATAGAACATAAGGGTGAATAAATGACTAAATGTACCATTCCTTGAAATTTCTTGTAATTCCTGGAGCAGGTGTTGGTAACTTCCTACGAACATATTGGTGTGGCTTTGACAATCACAAAAGCTCTGGGAGGGAACCAAGCCCTTCATTACTGGAATATCTCTGTTCTTTGGACTGCCACAGACCTGTGCTTAAACCAAGCCACTGTCATTTCAGTGGTGCGCCACTTTGATCAAAGACGTGAAATGAGAGGGCTGTAAAGTTAGGGATGAGGGGGTGTTTGGAGGAAAAGCGAGATAAGAGGCATTACAGAGAGACACACATCAGACAGCTCCGTGGATGTCTGGGTTTGTGTGTGTGTGTGTGTGTGTGTGTGTGTGTGCGCGCGTTTGAAGGCTGGAAGTGTAAAGGAAGCACAGTCACTGCGTAGGGAAATAAAAAAGTAGCTAAAATTGGAGACAGCCAATCTGCCTTTCTGGGCTTAAGTCGTTTGCTTGTGTTCAGAGACCAGTGAACTGCACCCGTAAGACCTGGTTTATATGCAAATGAGGCTTGCATCTTTAATGCCTAACGGCTACAATATAGTGTCTGTGCATCTCAACACTGCCCTTTGGAGTCAATTCAGCTCCAATTAAAAAGAGCTAGGATTAATTGGCAGTGCAGGGTCAAAATTCACTCATCCAACCCAGCAGCTTTTCACACTCTCTCCATCCCATCCCCCATTCCTTACATCCAACTATCCCTCCCACCGGCACTTCTGAGGAAGGAGAGCTCCATAAGACAGCATCTATGAGCATTAAATCATCCCTAACATCAGCGAGAGTTTGAGCGAGGTAATGCATTCATTAGTGGTTCAACGGATCACAAATCTCACGGTTCGGATCACATTACGGTTTTTGACCCACGGATCTGATAATTTTTCGGATCACCAAGAAAAGAAAAATATTTCAATTTAATTTGCTTTCCATTTATTACTTAAAGTGAAGTACTTCTTTGATACCACAGCAAATACTACTATATTAACTAAGAAAGTTTAAACATGATTAAAGAGACAAGAGAACAGCCAGTAAAAATAAGAACAAATACACAAATTACAAGCATAGATAAATACAACAGAATATGTTACAAATAAAATAAGGTTGGTAGTATTCAAATACAGAAATGTAATTATTAGGGAAAATAACACTGCATAGTGTTCACTGTATAAATTAAATATAAATTTTATCACAGCTGTTTTGTTGTTTGATGATCATTAATGACAACAGGAGTATTTATAGGCCGCTGTCCCTTTAAGACCTGATGCACCGATCCGATATAATGATACACATCACATCCGATTTCTTTCTCAGCTGTTTTCATTCACTTGAGACATAACTGACTGTGT